CCCATAAAGCCAATGAGACCCTTGTCGGATGGAATTACTGGTGATTTTTTGAAGTTGTTCTAGAAATGCATACCTATTGGTGATTCTTATGCTTCAGCACCAGTCAGGACGTCTAATAGGAGAAACAGGCTATATTGAACTTCTTGGGATGCCTGGCGGTACGAACGAGATGTATGGTCCAATCAGTCTGAAATTAGAGAAATAAACCCTCTGAGATACTTAGTCGTGGTCAAAACGGGCGTCACTAATGCAATGGATTTGAGCACGCGTTTTCGGCCAAAGTGAGATGAGGGTTCGAGTCCCGCTTCACGCAAAAGCATTGCGTATCACTCTACATCATTGAATGTACTAGAGATATTCGAAATTTCTAGTACTTTCACCGCACTTTTCGTAGTGTTATGATGATTCCTGTACACCTAAGAAACTGAGTAGTGATCAAAAACACGGCCCCAGGTGGGAATCGAACCCTTGTTTCATCCATACTAGGGACGCGTGCTATTACCACTAAACCACCGAGGCACGTTTGCGCTAACACTGCATTCTCCAACATCTCTGTGTTAGCTATCAGCCACCAACCTTTAACAGGTTGCAAAACCTTAAAACAAGAAATGTTGAGAGTAAGTGGTGCCGCAAATGTGCCTCGGTGATGTAGTGATAGTAGCACGCGTCCCCGAAATGGATAAAACGCGGGTTCGAATCCCAGCTTAGGCCGTGATTTTGCCCACAACTCAGTTCTCTTATGTATATAGGAAGTATTAAGAGGTACTCTAAGAAAGGTATATCGAAGTTCCTCCCAGAACTAGTATCCCTAGCACACATAGTCCCCACTGCAGAAGTCCACTGGTCAGTAGTAATTTTAGCACTTTGTTTGATCCGTCGTCACGGTGTATTTTTCACTCTGGAGATCCCAGCATTAAGAGCGTTCAAATCGCTTCTCTTCCTCTTGAACGTCGTAAAGTACTAGTTGAGCGAGTCTCCCTACACTCTTGAGGACAGCCTGACTGTAGCGTTCCACATTGCGTTCCTGTTGATGCGGAGAGAGATGGGGACGGGGGAAAGGTGAGTAGAACTCAGTTCCGTACGTGTCGTGACGAGCATCACAACCACTCGGCCACAGTATCCTCACGAGTCTCTAGTAATCATTAAGTTTTTGCGAAAAGACGTCAATTAGGTAAGATGCAGACAGTGCACGCTAAAAGACGGTCGAGTTTAGCCTTTAGATTTTAGTTGACGGTTGTACGACCGTGCGGATCGCCTCGGGGCTTTCGTGTTTTTTTTTCTCTCTGAGTGGAGCTGTTGATTCTTTCTGTTAGACGACGACAGATTTACAAATCGATCCTATGCGCTGGACAAGAACTTTTCCTAGGCGTGTTAGTAATCATTATTTTTATTCATACAATCCATCATCACAGTTCTTATAGTGCGGATCTCAGTTCTTCTAGCATTCAATTCGTTTTTCATCTTCTCCTTGAACGATATAGAATACTGGTCGAGCATGACTCCTTGCAATCTCTGAGATACCCCGGCTGGTGCGTTCTATAGAGCTTCCACGTTGACTGCCGGTGAGTGTTTGGGGTGGAGCTCGGCTCTGCGCGCACCGTGACTAGCATCACAACCACTCTGCCACGGTATCCTCACGGGTCTCTTGCAAAAAGACGTCAATTAGGTACGATGCAGACAGTGAAAAAAATCAAAAAAGTGCGAAAAATCATTTCAAAAATCATGCGAAAGCAACAGGTGCCGCCATGTGATAGACGCAGAGGCATTCGTCTCTGGGCAACACCCTCCGTTTTGCGCCTTGTCTCTGCAACTGCTCTGTCCCACGTGCGCGGAAGAATTTGCACGCCGTCTTTAATCCCCAGTATCCTACTCTTGGACCTGATTTTTTTTTCTTACGCTATAAGATCCTAGCGTACTTATTTTTTTGACATCGATTTGATCTCATTTATTGATGTGATATTCAAAAAAGCGCGCTAGTGCAGTACGATAGCACGAACCCTCGGAAAGGTGAGATGCTGGTTGAAGTGTCGCTCAAGGTCCAGAGTCTCGCATAGCATTCAGCATTATTGGATTTACAATTATGATGTCATACCACTCCTAGGATAAAGGATGAATTTGCCGAGGTTGATCAATTCCTAAGCGATACGCCATCATGCATTCGTCTTCAATTTTTCAGCTTCGTTTGAGGCGATTGAATCTATCATACCTATCCAGCATTTACAGTGATTCACGGTGGTCTTCGGCTGAACCGCGTCAGTGCTGCTTATCCTCCCAGACATGTCTTTGACTAGTCTGGCGCCAATTTACCGACCTGAAGGGATGCCTGGCTTGGTGAGCCATGAGTGCGACCTCAAACCACCGACCTCTGTACGGCGCGGAACAGCTCTGACCACTGCGCCACATGCGCTCTTTTCACTTCTAAAAAGCGTTCAAATTTAATAATTCTTCTAGTTGTTGTGTTTCAAATCCACGTTGTTCCAAGAGCGAGCACTTTTTCGCAAAAACCAAGTCGCGGACTCAGAAGCAACCTATCTGTCGATGCTCTTCACCAAAGTTTTTTTTTCGCTGTCGATCATGTTGATTTTTGCCTTTTTCTTTTTTGGGAATCCGTCTCCCAATTTCAGTTATTTCTCTCTGTCATTGGCTGTGTGGCACTTGTAGCATTACTTTCAACCGCTAAGAACTAAATTTGATCTCTTAAGTGCTTTCCTTAGTTATTGCAAATCAGCGGTATTGTTTATTTTGTCAAATAAGAATCTATTTATTCATTGAGGCAATTATATGTCTATTATAATTGTTGCCAATATACATTCATATCTATCTCTATAATCATATTAGGTCTTCTCATAAGTTTGGCACCAGAGCAATAAACACCAAATCCATTCGCCACAAGTAATCAAAATTACTTCTGGCTAACAAATTCCGATTTACTGAGACCGGCCGGAGACATGATCAAGGCCAAGGACTACTGTGGGCATCTGAAGCAGCTGCAATAGAGCCCTCTCACCTCGAAGTCGCCGCAATTTAATTCTGCTTCAAGACAACGCAAGGCTGCTTGTCACCAATCTGGCATGGAGGAAGTTGACCAAGCTGGGTTGATAGTTGCTGGATCGTCCGCCGTACAGTCCTGACTTGTCGCCATCATCCTGCAACTTCTTCCAGTCGATGGAGCGCTTCCTAAGCAAAGAGGAAGTTTCAAGACATCAGTCATTTGCGTCATTGATTGACAACTTTCGTTGAATCCTCGGATGACGAGTTCTATAGATGCGCTATTAATTTGTTGGCTGGGGGATGGCAGAAATGTGTTTAGGCCGATGGCGCATACCATGAATAGTGCTGTTGAGAGATTTTGATTATTTTCGGCTGATAAAATTGATGTTCATTGCTCTGGTGCCAGAACATATGAGAAGACCAATTATCACAACATCACAACAGCGATTCATCAATCGAAATTTTTTTTCAGGTGATCAGTCAACTAAATATGTCACAAATTCGTCCACCAGGTTTGTTTCATAGTCTTTTCTGAATTCATCCCGGCACTACTATATCAATATAAAGAGGACTGCAACCTTGGCGCCGACTATTCCCTCAAAGATGCGCCATGCATTCGCCTCCATTCCTAGCGTATGAGATGACTGAGTGCCTATCTGGACCTTCCGAGTGACTATCAGTGGCCTAGCGATGTATCAAGTCAGTGCTGCTTTGCTCCCCACACAGGCCGCTACCTGTTCACAGAGCTCAAGCGAATAGAAAGCTTTGTGAGCCTTGAGCCTGAGATCGAACCATTTACCATCTGTTGATAGACTACATGCGTGGCGCGAGCACCTCTACCCACTGCGCCACACGCACTCTGATCTTGATCTTAATATAATCCTTTGCGGACGATAAGAATCATTTTGACCCTTACAAAAACCTTTTTCAACTAAACGAAGCTCTTCATCATTAATATGAGCAATCATTTGGTACAAAGGTATCTGTAGTCGCTGAAGTGGCAAAACTAAAACTATGCTTCACACTCAGTTTGACTTATTTGCTCAGTTAAAGTTTGTGAATCGCTTCTTATTGGACTGCACTAAGCCCATTCGATAGCCCAAATCCTGGCCCATAAGAAGCTCTAGCTGGCTCGAGAAGACGTTCTGATAGCGCATTTTGAGAACGAAAATAAAATTACATTTGACACACGGAGTTTTTTTCTGCGCGAAGAAGTCATGTATGCACAAAGTGTACAAAGTTGTAGAGAAAATCATGTTCTATCGGAATAGTAAGGAGCATGTGACGCAGTGGTTGAGGTGCTCTGCGTAGCGCACAAGATTGATGGTTCAATCTCGCTCATGGCTCATCATGTCATCCATCCCTCCGAGATCGCTAAATTCGTACCAGACTTTTGTGGGAGGAAAAGAAACACCGACTCGTGACAGCGGGAGGCCACCTCCAGTTATTGTATAGGCCAAATATGCATTCAATCACCTTAAACGATGATGAAAATTAAAAACGAATGCATGGCGCATCCTCCAGGGACTGATTAACCCCCAACAGCTTTATGCTTTTTATCAGAATGGCGTAAAAAACTTTATCTATTCTAATTCTCAAAACAAAGGAAAGTACTTATATGTTAGACAGCGGCAAAAGAATTATTCGACCTCATTCACTGGACCACATTTTTTCATGGAAAAGTTAGCAATCATTCGAAAGCTCAAATCTGTGGCTACAGCCCCATTTGGCCGGTTGATCAAAGCACCCTTTCATAATTCTGTAAAATCCGTTTATCTCTCTAATTGTGATGAAGGTTCAGCGGTTTTGTTATAGTGATCTGCTGCCAACTTGTGTCTCGCAACGGACAAGAGAGCAAAGTTCAAATTCTTTATATGGATTATATCAAACAACCTATAATACAACATTATTACGACATATCGTTATGCGAACATATGACTAAGTCAATATGAGTGACCGACTGATGAGAAGTATCGTAATCCGACGATAATATGAATACTAAGTAATATGATACTATTAAAAATCGGCAACATAGTTCTATAGCTAGAGATTGAAGCTTTCGAATGGTTACCGATGCCCCATAAAAAGTTCCTGTTAACGAAAGGGATCGGTTTCTCATTTGTTTCCGCCTGAAGTATAAACACCGAAACAATATTTGTTCAAGAACGGTAATCTTACGCCACTGGTGATGTCAATTATGCTGCCATCCGCATGGTTATAATTAGCTATTTTTATGGGCTTAAGTTTCTTTGGGTAGTAATTTGTTTTACAGGTGTAGCCGACTTGGTGACTTATTTGAACTCATTACCAGAGAATATTCGTCAGCTGTTCGAAAGAGAATGCTCAGTTTTACTAGAATGCCGGTGATTTCGATTTCTTCACCTTTCAATTCAAAATTTTGATTTCTTTTATTCAGCGACTTATCTTCCGTTTCAGTTTGTGCAAAAACATGTATCGGGGTTTCGTCAACTTCTTGTCTCACAAGACAAAGTATTGTCGAGCTGAAGTTCATGAAATCTCACACACGA